TCTCTTCTCCAGGCTGAGCAACCCCATAATAAGTAGAAGAGCTTCAGGTGGGGAAGGTGAAACTTGTAGGATCTCTCCCTCAGAAAGCTCACAATCAGTCATCATGGCAGTACTGCCACCCTAGCCCAAATCACAGGGCGGGTATTTAAACCTGGGTAGGTGGGAAGCCAGGCTTAGCCACCTGTTTAACAACAGAGCTTACAAGTTGAAAATGCTTTTGGCTAGTTCACCCCTGGGTGCCCAAGCCTGGTATCTTTCCTTTGGCCGGGCCGTGTGAGTGAGTTCCCATGGAGGCCTGTGAGCGGGATGTGGCACTCGCTTGGGCCAGCTGGGCAAGGGAGGAACGTCACACACCTGCCAATGGCAGCCCCGTGGAGTGGGGAACCTTCAGCTGGCATTATCTTCCCAAGCCTATGTAAGCCATTGGAGCAGTGTTCACAGCCCTGTGAGATGTCCCCTGTCTGTGATCACCCGACTTTCTGGATACACAGAGACACCAAGATACTGGACTCATAGCAAAACCCTTGAAGTGAAGGTCTCAGACTAGCTGGAAATGGTCTACCTCTCACTGGGCCAGCTCACACCCTCTTTGCCCTTCATCTCAAGCACCTGCCTCCCAGCTGGTTTTGAGGTCTCTTCAGCTGCCTCCCTCCTCCTATTTGCACAAACTGCCTGGCAGGCTGAGGATCCCACTAGATGGCAGGACAGTTTAAGCCCTTGCTGTTTCTACCCAAACTGCTTCAGAGCAAGGGTGTTGGGACTCCAGTGGGCTCAGCCCTACACCTCTGTGCTTTGTGGACCCTGGAGAACCCACATGGACCACGGTGGACCTGGGGCTTATGCTCACCGAGCACAGCAAATACAGCCTGTGCCAAACCGGTGGAGAAATCCATGCAGAAATCTCTGTTCAATTCCTTTTCATGGGCTTTATCACACGTAGAGCACCAGCAGACAGAAAAGAGGAATACAAAGCAGTCACAAGTAATTTGCTAAATCTTGAAACATTCCTTTTTGTATGTATGATACATAAAGGGTATTTGGAATACATGATGCTGAAGTGTAATTTAAACCTCTTCTAGCCACTGCTCTGTTGTAATTTTTAACTAATGCAAGTGCAGTTATATTATTTTGTATTATCACCGTTGTATGAAAGCTGCACAACAGAGAAGTGGCTACCGTGGGTCAGATGCAGGTCCATGTAACTAAATAGGATGTCTTGGATACTGCAAACAGATATGATATTTCCACTGATTAGTCCCCTTGGCTCCAAGCATTTGTGTTCATGTTCTGAGTTGGGAGAAATTTTCAGTATGATGAGTAATTCATGACTCATGAATTATATACAATATATATAATTCACACTATAGTTAATATAAAACCGATCATTGTCTTCAGTGACAACTAGATCTGGCCTGCACATTGCTGTACTATCAATGATTTGGAAAATTGTTTTTAAATATACCACCTTGCAAACTGCTTTGCCACTCATTCCATCCATCCAAGCTCAGACTATGCAATATTATATCAGAATGATGGTATATGGCACAGGTGGAGATACCTGTATGAAGAATCATAGCAAATAAGCTTCCTTTTAAAAAAGGCGTATTTCTCTTAATCTTTCTAAATGAGAACATTCTAATAATCAGTCCCGTACCTCAAAATCTACTTAGTTCTTTATTGCCTTCCAGAGAACAGATTTAACTTTCCTGATTTATAGCAACAAAAGATGCGCCTTAGCACGTTCATCCACCTCTTACTTGAAGCTTCTGATGAAGCTTCTGACTTAAGAAAATTACTTTCTTAGTGACAATTGGAAAAGATTGAGGCCAATTTTCTGTATATTCAAAGTACTTAAATTGTTTTATATATGCACAATGAAGTTACGGCAGGGGGTGTCCTGCCTTTTTTTGTTTTGTTTTGTTTCTGGTTTTGTTTGTTGTTTTTTTTTTAAATATGCAGAGTGGCTAAGAATGAACAATTGCTTCAGTAAATTCCAAAATTTGGAGACAACAAAGTTACTTTTTTTGCTTGGTACTAAATGAATTTCCTTGCTATGTAAAAGCCCAGGATAGTGCTGTACGCTGATGAAAAAGATGCTACTACCTGTGCCACACTTGCAGGAATGGAAATTGGGATTAATGCATTATAATACCAGATTAGCCTTAATAGAAGTTTGCCGCCGTAATTTATCAAGGTAATTAAGTATGTACCTAATTTTAGGCACTAAGTAGTTCTATTGGCTTCAGTGAGACTAGTCTGCATTTAAAGTTGAACATGTTTTAAAATACTCTGCTGATTCAGGGCCATAACTTTGTTAGCTTGTGGATTAAGAGAAAGCACTGTCATCAATACCCATTATTGGAGCTAAGGGGAGGGTGGTATACCTTGGATAATGGTTGAAACTGGATAAACTGGCTCAGTGAGAAAGAAGCACTTAATTTGCTCTTTACCAGCTCAGCCAAAGTTTAGTAGGACTACTACCTGTCTTCAAGACACTAACGAAAATGAACCAGAGCTTTTCCAGGTTTAGCTGTGCTTAAGAGAGTCACGCTGCCTAAACCCTGGGCTACTGGACAGCATGGCATAGAGACCCCCACCAGCTCTGAAGGGGGTAGCTCCTGCCTGGCTGAGTCAGGTGTAATACAGAACTAACAAATGCTTCTGGACTAAAGTTTATATGACACAATATCTCCCACACCAACCAGTGTTTCTGGTTCTGTGTATACTGGTCAGAAACGTGCAGCTGGCTCAGAACTGGAAAGGTTTACTCGACAAAATCCAGGGTATAACTCATTTTTTGTACCCAAACTGACTGCAGAAGGGCTCTCTCATGCAGCCTGGACTAAGACACATATGGCAAAGAGGTGCTTCTGCACCTGTAACCTGATTAATCTGCAACTAGATAATACACAGGCAAATGAGGACTGTATATGTGACCCACACATTATAGATCAAATATGTTCATCCTGCATTGAGTTGCATTTTAAATCTTCCTCTTAGTCTTTACTTCTCGTGTAGTTTTTCTAATTTTCTGTTAAAAAAGTCTTTTTTTCTGTGCAGTGTGTTTGCTATGACAGGTTCACAGAGCTTAAGTACAAAGTAAGCACCAATTTTCCAGTGTTACAGTGTGTTTGCTATGACAGGTTCACAGAGCAAAGTAAGCACCAATTTTCCAGTGTCGAGCACTCCAACCAGTTCTAAGCTATACGTCTGTTAGCAGTTAGCTCCGTGTATGTATATAGCTTATAATAATACAGAGCTTAGCACATGAATAATTTGCTAAATTCAGCTGGTTCATAATTGGTGTTTTAATAGTAAAAAACTTCAAAGCATCCTAGGTTAGCAAAATGTTTATTTGAAGTATCTATTCCTATAACCCAAATTTTAGTGTCTGTATTCTGTAAGAGAAGAATCTAAATATATCCAGTGCTGCAACTGTGAAAGAAGAGGAGAATTCAATATAGGCCACGACCCAGAAGAGCACTTTAGCATATGCTCCACTTAGAGCACATGAGGAATTCTGTTTCAGTAATACTCGGCTACTTGATTTCCATGGGATCATTTTGAGTTCTTAAAATTGAACAATTTTATGTACCATGATGCTATAAAGGAGGCTGGGATATCGAACGGGCCTGCAACCCAGAGTGAGTACTACAAATACAGTTAGTCAGCTCCGAGTCTCTCTCCACTGCGATTTTCAGCTCTGGTCCTCCAGTGTCAGCTACTTCAGTCTCTCAGACTTTCTTAAGCTACCTGTTTTGCTCCAGTGGAGTAAGTTATTTGACCTTTCCAAACCTGAAAGTAATTTTGAATGCTGCACTTGTTAAATGAATACAGATAAGTACGAGCGTCAGTTCAGTTGGATGACACTGGATCCTTTACTGAATGGTCCCCAAAAGACATTGGGTGAGCAAATGCATGCTAGGAACGGTAGGTCCTCTTGCAGAGGCCTCTTGCAAGCTCTCTGCCAGCTATAAAATACACTAATATTTTATAGATGGAATACCAGTCAGACGTGGAATGTACCCATCAGAGATGCTTCCTCCGACTACAGCCCAGCAGAGAGATTGTGTGGGCAAATCCAGCATACGATTGTTGATGCAGGAGTGTTGACTCCCAGGAGGAGAGGGAAGCCCTACAGAGGGACCTAGAGAGATTGGATCACTGGGCCAAGATCAATGGCATGAGTTTCAACAAGGGCAAGTGCCAGGTCCTGCACTTGGGCCACAACAACCCCCTGCAGCGCTACAGGCTGGGGGAAGTGTGGCTGGAGCTGCCTGGAGGAAAGAGACCTGGGGGTTCTCATTGACAAGTGGCTGAATATGAGCCGGCCGTGTGCCCAGGGGGGCAAGAAAGCCAACGGCATTCTGGCTTGTATTAGAAATAGTGTGACCAGCAGAAGTAGGGAGGTGATTGTGCCCCTGTACTCGGCACTGGTGAGGCCACACCTCGAGTGTTGTGTCCAGTTTTGGGCGAATTTTTCACCCAAAGAGTGGTCGGGCATTGGAACAGGCTGCCCAGGGAGGGGGTGGAGTCCCCATCCCTGGCTGTGTTTAAGGGCCGTTTAGATGCAGTGCTGAGGGACATGGTGTAGGGGAGGACTTTGTAGAGTAGGGGAGATGGTTGGACTCGATGATCCCAAGGGTCTCTTCCAACCTCAATGATTCTATGATTCTATGCTGGTTAGGTTTCAAGAAGTACATAAAAGGCTGCTGCCCCAGGCTGCAGTAAAGGTGCACGTCTGTACATGAATCTTAGGTTTCCTATAAGAAGAGAATGAATGCTGAGTATTTTCAGGAGCATGACCTCTGTAACAAACCAATGTCTTTCAGTAGAGGAAAAACCTTCACTTAAAAATCTTTGTAAAAATCATGATTGGAACATCTTCATTCTCAGCAAACAATAAAGCAAAAAAACCAGACAAAATAAAAGCAATGTGTCTTCTGGGGTTTTAAGTCTTGTCATACCGGAAAAGCATCAAGGAATCACCAGAAGGCAGAAAAGATGACAGCTATTTAATTTCCACAGTGAGATTAAACAATTTTAATCACTTACAAACATGGCTACTTTATTTTAGGTACACGTGAACAGTTACAATATTCAGCCTGAAAACAGAAATGATGGAAGTGGCAAGACTGCTAAGAGTGGGAGAACTGAGATGATCTGCCATAATCGAACAGAGTTTAAAGAAGGGTTGAAAATGAACACTGGTGTTTAAGTAGTATACAAAACCTTTTGGAAACAGGAGAGAAAAAAAAAATTGTTTCTTTTTATTTATTTCTCACACCCATCTACATACATCCAGTGAGAAAAAAGTCTCAGGAGATAAATTATAGATAATGGCTGCAATCTTACATATATTTAATATCATCTTATGTTGGGCAGAGTGCATACACCTCTGTGTCAGAGAGAAAGAAGCTATATTGGGAAATTAAGAAACAGGATCTTTATTTTGAAGCAATCGTTAGTTGGTGATACACCTGCTAGGTATATTAATTGGAACTGTCAAAGAAGATTAGTTAGGATGAATACTATAACCATGAGAAAGCCTAAACCAGGAAATACATTCTTTAGTTCTCTTCACATTTGGATGTGTAGAACATTGGTTTTGAAGGATGACAGTAGAAAAAACAGTAGTTCCATGTTAATGTCATCTAGGTACAAGTGTGTTGCAGAATCTTGTCTGTGCTGCTAAGGTTGCTACCACACTTCAGAAGGGGTGACACGGGGAATCTGGAAAGTCTGTCAATAGGTTTCATTAATCCAGCAGTCCTTAGGTGTTAGGAATCATTGCTTTTTCCTTCCGCCTCTTGACCTTCCAGCAAGGCTTTGGATGATGGCACTTCTCCACCCTCTGCTCCTTCATCTAAAAAAAGGACAGAATTAAACGTTTATACCACACAGCATTCTCACACCTTTTTTAATGCAGTCAAATGTTTGGGTTCACTGATCATCTCTGTTTGGATTGGCTCTTTATTACCACACTACACGCTACCACACTCATGAGTGCTGTAGAGAGAGAGATTAACTTGAAAGATAAAGAACTTGCAGAGGCATCTTCCAAGAGCAATTGCCTATTGTGTGGATTTGCCTGCTCCTTGCACATGCTGATCCATGGGCATTTGGTTGTAAGAAACAGATTGGAGTTAACTTTTTATTACTGTTATTCTGTTTTTCTGGGTAATTTCCAAAGTCAAGTTAGAGTATTGCATTCCTCTGAGCGTTGCTTGGTTTCAGGCAGGTAACATTACAGCTTATGAACATGCCAGTTATCTGGCTGACCTTCTTTGCCAAGACATACCTAGGAGAATTCACCCTGTCTTCACAAGATGAAGGAATTTTTTTGTTATGTTGATTTGGAAGTTCACTCTTCCATAGGTTTGCATTGAATGCTCAGATGACTAGTGTAAGTAAAAGCTCCCCAGCAGGCACGGCCATAAGATGAAATGTTCCACCCTGTCACTTTCGATGCTCAAATTCCCTCACTGAGAAACAGGAACAACTCTTGCCTTGATTTCTTTGCAAAGCATGATAATTTTCACACTGCCTTTAAGTCCCACATGGCATTACTAGTGCTGAGAGAACGGTTTGTATGCCTGAATCTGAGACAGCCCATAGTCTTTAGGGCCAAGGAGGGGTTCTGTTCAGTGTATCTGGCTGTACCATCTTCCAAGTCCTATCCACTGCCTTGATTTCTTTGCAAAGCATGATAATTTTCACACTGCCTTTAAGTCCCACATGGCATTACTAGTGCTGAGAGAACAGTTTGTATGCCCGAATCTGAGACAGCCCATAGCCTTTGGGGGCAAGGAGGGGGTCTTATTCAGTGTATCTGGCTGTACCATCTTCCAAGTCCTATCCACTTTAACAGTCCTAGTCTAAGGGGCACATTTTCAGCTAATTACCCTGGAGACTTGCTGCAAAATACCACCAACAGCCGAAAGAGTTGTGTATCTTGGTCTCTACAAACCACGGCAAGTATCTACCACTGTATACAATTCATCAGCTAAAGGTCTTGGCAGAAATCACATGATGTTTTAAGTCTGCTCAGAGTTTTGGAGGCTTCAGAGTTTCATACTGGTCGATTAAGACTCATTTGGCACCCATCAGTATTACGCAGTGCAGCGCTGTTGAGGAAGGGGGGACAGAACAGTTTTCTCTATTGGCTGTTTCTGTGTGGGGTTGGATGTGGGGTCCTGCAGACAGGGTAAACAGTTTGTTAGAAGAAATCTGATCTCTTAGTTGGAAGCACTTATTGTGACTGGTGCTAAGAAGCTGAGTGTATCAAGAAAGTTATACAGAGTCACCTAGAAAAAAATCAGCAAACAATAAAAGTTATTGGCAGAATAGTGCCCTAAAGCAGATTACCAAATATGAGAGGCCACTATTGCCTCTTTGCTCTCAAACTTCTTGCAGACTCCTCTTCAACCTTTGGATCCACACTGACACCAGTCAATTGTTTAATGTGGTTCCAGCGTGGCCTCCCACCAGAGCACCTCTGGGAGGTCTCAGCCCTCTAAAACTTAGGCACCAGCAGAGGATGCTCAGACAGGATACAGGTGGTCTTCACTTCAGAGTCAGGCTCCAAGATAAACAGCTGGCACCAAAATCTCTCCTGTATATCTCATGAGGACATTAATTTGGTGTGGCTTGCAGAGTACATGGAAATTTATATCACACAGCTATGACCCTTGTATATTCATAAAGAATATATGCAAAGTCTCTTTTCTCTTCTAAGCCAGACAAAAAGTATTGGTGTGTCCTGTTCCTGACCACTATGACAGCAGCTGATAGCATTTTAGAAAGAGAGGAAATGTATGATCCAGTGAGCATTAGCTACATTTGAAGTAAGATGGAGAGAGTCGTTCTCAACATTTCCTATAATCTTCATTGAATCTTTTAGAGTAGAAAAAAAATAGGACATGCTTTATATAGCCACATGTTCCATCTTCTCCACTTTTCTCATTTATCCAACCTTTTTGGTCTGAGCTGGAAATGGCTTTCATTTTTTCACTTATTGTTAAAAACAGAAACAGGTAAAAAGAGATGCCCGTTAGAGCCCCAAATGATGCACAAACTGTTTCTCTGTCAGAGCATTTGAGCTCCCAAACTTTCTTTCCATTTTGATGAACTCTCCTTGTTTTGCTTGCTGTCATAACTTGCAACACAATGAGGCCGTAAATCCCATAGGATGCTTGTGGAATTCCCAACCTCAAAAAGCATCCAAGCAGTCAGAGTGGACCTCACTGTATCCTGTGTTCATTTCCTACTATCAGTACTGCAAAGTGCTGATAACAGAAACTGCTCCTTCCAGGCAGGCTCTGGCACAGCTATGTGCCAATGACAAAAGTAAAGAATTAATTCCACGCTCTTAACTGTTCTCCAAATCCTGGCAGTGCTGGTCCTTGTATTTGTAAGAAAGCATCAGTACATTTTGCTAAAACTAATGTAGCTGTGCTTCATTTCTTCTTCTTAATGCATTGGATGGGCACCGGGAGAGGAGGATTATTCTGTCTGGAGGGCTAAGTACTTATTTTATGCTGTGCTGTAACATTTCTTTTAACAAGACTTTCACTCTTTCATGTTTATTTTTATCCAGGAGGAAAAAAAAAAAGATCCAAGAGAGAAATTCTGCATGCTTTAAAAAGTATATTCTTTTCAACTACTAAGCTTTCCAGAGGCCAAAATGAAACAAACATGAGGAAGTTATCTATAGCTGTTGTACTCTTTTGTGCTTTGTTTAACATGGTTTTGTGCATCTCTCTCAAGGTTCACTGCTCTAAACAATACAAAGGTTAGTTACACATAATGTAGCAATGAATATTTCAGTGGGTTGGACTGGTCACTTCACTTCCACAGCTCCAGACACTAATAACAATATAAATTCCTGTCTACCTCCCCTTTGATAAGGGAAACAGTTCTCTCCTGCTGGAGCCTGACCCCTGGTCACGGTGCACAATCCGTGCCAGGCAGAAGAGCTATTTGGAATAAAACCCCGCATAATATTTGAAAACCAAAGCCTTAAATGTTAAGTGACTGTACTTTGGAATGGATTTCCAGTGCTCCAGCTGGGCACATCAGAAGGAGAAAAATCGGTAGGGACATACTTTTCACATTCCTGGGGAAAAACCTCTCCTTGAAACACAGGAGTTTTAACGGAGGCTTATCTGCCATCCCTGCCCCTGGACTCACAGGGCTCCCAGCATTACTCTGGATGTACGCTGACACAGTGCCCAGCTTCCTCCCCACTTGCTCTCCCAGAGTCCCCCAGTTCCCCTCCCTACTGCCCTGCAGCCTGAGGGTATCTGACCACCAGCCCTCACAGCAGCCACTGGGACGGGCATGAGAAGTTACTTCCAAATCAGAACCTAAAAAACTAGGTGCAGCCCACGCTCGGGGCCAAATCCTAATTCTCACTTCATAGGCATTAGAAACCAGATTTTTCCAAATCCCACAATCCCCCTGAAAGTAGAAAGAACTCAAATATAAAGCTGGTGTTGATTAAACCTGTGCTAATCAACAGAGCACAGAGTATCAAACTAAAGGACAGGCCAAAATACAACCCTGGTCTCAGACAGCAAAGCCTCATAGCAGGAGTAAATCACTGTAAGCTCTGCTGTTAATGGATGTTCCTGAGTTCGGCTGATAGCTGCAATTGGATTAACAGTGCAGCTTGGTGTCTCGTGCTAAGTTGTCTCACACTGCAGGAGCAGACCCTAATTTATAGCTGAGTGGTGGCTTTCCAAGCTGCCCAGCAAATGCAACTGTGTTTGCTCTTCCTCAGGAGAAATGGAATTCAGCTCCCAGTACCTTTCACAGAATCACAGAATCTTAGTGGTTGGAAGGGACCTCTGAGATCATCGAGTCCAACCACAAAAAACAAAACAAAACAAAACAAAAAAACCCCACCAAACAAATACAAAACACACCACACCAAACGCCCGCACCCACCAACTAAACCCCACACTGAACACCTCGCCATAAACCAATAACCTTGGGCACTAGAGCATGCCCTGAAGAGCCCTGTCTATACGTTTCTTAAATCCCTCCAGGGATGGTGACTCCACCACCTCCCTGGGCAGGCTGTTCCAGTGCCTGACCACCCTCTCAGTAAAGTAGTTCTTTCTAATATCTAATCTAAATCTCCCCTGCCCCAACTTCAGACCATTCCCCAGGCTGCTGAACGCTCAGTCTGTGGGTGGATATGGCAGACTTACTCCGGGTTAAAATTAATTTGTCTCCTTAGGAAATACAAGTGGTAACTGCTTTGGAAGGTTGAATTTCATAGAATCATAGAATTTCCCAGGCCGGAAGGGACCTCCAAGGGTCATCTAGTCCGACCCCCCCGCAGTCAGCAGGGACACCCCCAACTAGACCAGGTTGCCCAGGGCCTCGTCGAGCCTCTCCTTGAATATCTCCAGGGATGGGGCCTCAACCACCTCCCTGGGCAACCTGTTCCAGTGCTCCACCACCCTCACAGTGAAGAACCCTCTCCTCATCTCCAGTCTAAATCTGTTCCCCTCCAGCTTGAAGCCATTGCCCCTCGTCCTGTCACTGCAGGCCTTTCTAAACAGGCTCTCCCCAGCCTTCCTGTAGGCTCCCTTCAGGTACTGGAAGGCTGCTATTAGGTCTCCCTGGAGCCTCCTCTTCTCCAGGCTGAACAACCCCAGCTCCCTCAGCCTGTCCTCGGAGCAGAGGTGCTCCATCCCCTTGATCATCCTTGTGGCCCTTCTCTGGACCCTCTCCATCAGGTCCATGTCCTTCTTGTATTGAGGAATTTAATCATAAATGAAGAAAGAAATATTAGTATTGACATCAAAACTGCATGGTGGCAGAAGCCTTGAGGAGAAAGCAAAGGATGACTGCATAAAAATGTCCATTTCTTGAATGCTCAGGCATTACCTTCCGAAACGGAGAGCTCAGCCAGCTTGTGTGGCAGGTCTGAAGTCCCAGCCCCAGCAGGAGAGCCCAGGATGTCTGGTAAGGCGTTCCGGCGGCCTGCCCGTCCTGATGCTGCAAAATCTGTGACCACGGGCTCCACATCAGTCATTGCTGACTCCTCTCCTCATAGCAACATCTGCGTGTGGAACAAACACCAGAAGAAAACAGCTGTAGCCCGTATGGATGCTAATCACCTGCTCAACAATACAACAGCCATAGGCTTTGCCCAATGGGTCTATTGCTATTCAAAGCCACATATTTCAATACTGAGTGCTCAAGATTTATTTGTGCCCCAGAAGAAGATAAAAGAATCTCCGTGCATTTCTTTACATCACCATTTGCACATCAGACTAAGCGCAATGAACAGCTCTGCACCTACAAGAAACCTGTGGAGAGGGCCAGCAACAGCCCCTTCTGCAGCCACTTCTGTGTCTTTTTATGACCCTCTTTTTATATTCCTCTTCTTCAGTGGTTTTGCCATACAGCCACTCGGAAGGGAACCGAAACTATTTTGTCATACTGTCTTCTATGAAGCAAAGCATGGTTTCTTTATTATGAATCTTGTTTAGATTCTTATGTAGAATCATTAGAACAAACTCCTTTCACAGAGGAGCAAAATTATACAAAAAAGACCTCTCAAAAACTAAACTAAAACTCTTCATAAAATTTCTTCGTCTTGCAGACATCAAACCATTTGTTTTCCTCTGTTCCCTGTTAGCTTGGTTTTACCTCAGCTTCTGCATGTGACTTTTATCTAATAAATAATTTAATCCTGGAAATAACAGAACCAAGAGTGCTCTGCTCCCTAAATGGGCTTTGGATCAGGAATAGAGGTGTTTGCAGGATCACACCCCGGGGCACCAGCTTAAGTGAGAACACCTGCAGCAGGAGGTGACACTTGGCTGCAAGTGGCAGCCAGGGACCGCGTGTGAAAGCTGCCATTAGCAACTGTACTATTAAGAATCACTTCAGACTATCATACCAGAATTGTACACAATCATTTCTGATAATTAACAGACTCGTTTCTAACAATTAGTCAGGAATTGTTCAATTAAAAGCAATATTTTGTGTTCTGTTGTGCAATGTGGGAACAGGAATGTTGTCTCTGTGTGTAAATACGGTCAGTGTGTTGCGTGGGAAGGGACACAGGTGAGGCTGGAGACCAACCTTGATGGAAGGTCATCACATTTCGGTTGACAACTGGCTGTATTTAGCATAAGATCTGGATAGGGAAACTCTTAATCATTTTAGTGTTGCTCATACTAGAAGCAAAGCATCATAGTCCCCTTTGGAAAATTCCGCCAAGGTTGGGAATGATGAGTGCTCTCATTTCATGGATAGAAAAATGGAGGCAGACAGAGATCAAACATGACTCGCTCTGATCTGCAGGAAGGGTGGGGCTGAAATTTGATTACTGATGCTGACCTGGTGTTTCCATCACAAAGAACATTTTCCTTTTCTCCCTCCAAGTGCCTTTCAGCTGTGTCACTCCAAGAACAAGAATAAATATTCTTAACCTTCTTTGTATCTCTAAATACTTTGTAATAAAAGAAGTGAATCATTCTCGGCAAGAAACGAAGACATGAGTAAAAACTGCAAGTCTGAAAGGTGACTTAAACATGCAAATAAACCACTTTCTTTACCCAGTCAGTAACTGACAGTTCTGACCCGGAGATTTAGTAGAAAGTTTCTGTCTCACATGAAAACAGTCAGCTGGAGTCCAAATGGATCTTTTCCATATGCAGCAAAAATGTAAAAACTATACATGGACATTCTTGAATGCAACTTTGAGAAAATATACAAGGTATGTTTATCAACATTCTTGGCTAGATACATCATTATACTATGCATTCATTAAAACGGGTGAGGTTAGGACTTGACAAGAAATATCAAAATAAAGAGAATGAACCTATACTTACAGACACAGACTCACGGCTTCTTGTGGGTGTTCATATTTACTGCAGTGTAGGTGTCCCAAATATATTTCTCCACATGCTCACCAGAGCAAGTAAGCAGACTGTAAATTACACATCAGAATAGAAAATACTCAGGATCTCCCTTTGCTTGGTAAAGCTGTTAAAATTTGTTCCCAATGCCAAAATACTGCAGTTCCTGCACATTTCAGTTCAGGCATTTAGCTGGTGAGACAGTAATACTGCTGTGAACTGACTGCTCTTCACAGAGATCTACAGAATGACATTAACATCAAAACACACCAAAGACTTCCTCAAACCTTGTGGATTTGTTTATTTCTCTTTTCTCTCCGGCATGGTCTCCAAATGGTTACTTTTTAAACGGAGAAAATCTGTTCTCCAGCTCATGCTACATGAAACTGCTCTCTTCTATAGCACAGTTTCATCTTACCCACCTTGTGCACTTGTTTCAAATCCCTCCCTTTCCTCTCCAGCTCACCTCTTTCTCCCCTGATGGAATCTCCTTTCATTGTGAAACACTAGGCAACCCAGGCAGATAATGAAGGACACAGTCTGACACGCTTTCACGTACATGAATTTTGATTCATTCCCTTGATTAAAAAGTGCACAGAGACAAATCTAGAACATCTCTCAGAAAATCAGCTGATCATTCTCCAGCAGTCTGGTAGCCGTAACTCAAACATAGCTATCTAAAAATAAAAAAGTACACATCCTTTATATATGTAGCAGTTTCCATTATGTGTTCACCTTTGTTTTCTCTATAATATGCTTAAAGTATTCGAGGCTGAGCAGAAGGCTGAGTTCAGAAGTTAAGGGCTACCCATTGCTCTAGCACAGGATGTTTTCTAAGGATATTTGAAAAATGAGGGACTACCCCAGCAGCCTTGGAACTGACACTACAAATCAAAACTTTAGTCCATGTAGGTCTGTCAAAACTTAAGTCTACCTCCAAACATATGACAGGCCATATTCAAATAGCTTGCTGCTGTACTTTAGATGAAACATTAAAAAATGAAATGTCATTTAAGTAATGTTTTCATTTTCATTCTGATGCTCTCTCATAACAGTATTTTCTAGGACCTACACCCAAGTAAGGATGTAGAGTTTCTCTACTCTTCATCTGTTTCAACCTTTAATTTTTTTTAACATATCCATCAGGAAATAACTATCTTTTGGGCATTTTCATGTGTCTGTTATGTGTAGTATTTTTTGTGCTTCCTCACATGGTAAATAATAATCACAGTGTCATAGCATCTATTTTCCCAATTCTACCCCTCCTCCCACTGGCAACATCTCCTTCAGCTTCACTGAACTCATTTTTGCTGTAACCATATCCAAGTTAAAAAGATCCTTCCATCGTGGCACTGCCTGCATACAGTCGCTTCTCTCAGCTTCCAAATTACTGTTGTCACTTTTCTCCCCTGTCACTGCTCACCAGACTAACGGTATGCAGCTCTAAAAGAATAATGACAGATTTCCAGCAAAAATCAGGCTACCCAAAAGGAGAAGGGAACTGGGTGGGAACCAGAGTCGAGCCAGGAAGCAGGCTGTTTGCAGAGGGTCAACAGCAGGAAGGCAGGTGGACCTCCCAGAAAAGCTCTCTTGCTAAAACTAGAGACCAAAGGCTTTGACTGGCATGATAAATAATTAAATCCATGCCACCAGACCAACTTTGCAGCCCATGAGTGGGCCATGCCACAGCACTAAGGGGTTTTTTGGGAGTACTAGTTCATCTGCTCATGTGTGCCACCCAGAACGCACAACAGACCACTCCGGGGTGCAAGGGGAAAGAAAATGCTCTGTTTGGTCAAACTGGTGGCAACCAAAAGTAAAACTCAATTATTGTATCTTTCAGATATTCAAGTAAGTGTCCTCAGACAAATCAATGGCAGGTAAACTACCAGTGGGTTTTTTCTCTAAATGAGGGAACTAGTTTGTTAATCTTCCAATCTTCTTCTGTTGACAGCATAGCCAGCCCCTTCGGAGGAAATGAGTCACAGAAGCTGGTGAGAGTTTGTTTAAATAAATGACAAAGGAAAAGAACAAATAAGTCTCCTGAAACAACTTGTGTTGAGGATCAAGAGAAAAAATGCTTTATGGTGCTCATTTGTAGCAGGTGCCACCATCCACATTAAATGTCAGTGCTGTCTCTTCCTCACCCTGTCTGTTAGGAAGCAGATAAATCACTACAATGCACATTTGTGAAAGCTCTTTTTTCTTCTATCTTTTTACTGTCTTACACAGAGACAAAATACTAGTTTTGTTCTGCTTGGAAGGACAAACTATTCCTCAGGAAATGTCAAAAGGTTCCTGACATTGGTATTGCTGCAACTCCGTGCAGGAGACTAAAAGACCAAACACATCACTCCTTGCCACTCAGACACTTCTCTCCTCTCAAAAACCTTTCTCTTAGGTCTTAGGGATAGTCTCTATCTGCACAATCAGAGAGAGCTTATACCTCCAGAACACTGTTCTTTTTGAATGTCTCTTAATAGGAACAAATTGGAAAGCATCACATCCTCACAGAAGCACCTGAAGAATACAAAAGCCAAGTAGGACTTCTAGAGGCAGATTGATTCATTTTGTTTATTGATGGTCTCTTACAGTAAGATGCATTTCAGCATCTTACTTTACTCAGAAAGAACTTTAGTCCTTTTAGTTGTGTTGCAAGTAATGAGTGTTCTCCAAGTACCTTTACCCCAAAAGCCTGTAGGTTCAGAACTTTCTAAGTAAGGAGAACAGAAAACTTATTGAAAGAAGCACTTCCCAGTGTGCGACTGAGATGAAACCCACATCTCCTTGCCATGCAGTGGCCGTGCTTTCACATCCTCTTCTGCTGCAGCTACACCCCGACAGCTCTGCCTCCCCTTCCCAAAAAATTCAGAACAGGACCATTCTCATTATACATGCTCCTTATATAATAATTCTCCTTATTTACATAATCCTTATGCTTTATCCTGAAGCATTACTGGACCATAAAAAAAGGAAAGAAAGAAAAAAAAAAGTTAGGAACATTCATGCTTTTAGGGAACACAGTCCAGAGATTATGAAGATGACCAACAGTAACCTGGGCACTCACAGGATAATTTTTGTGAGAAAAATTTCTTTTATGTGTTTTTTTTGGCAACAATAATATTTGTAATACACTCATAAGCCCAATGCACACAAAAAGATAAGCAAGCAGTCTGTATCATATCTATATCACAGGAGCCTTGATTGTGTTTGGGGCTTAGGACAAGGGACCACACATTTCTTAATACAATAAGAAGCAATATATCTAACTATATGAGAGTTAGAAGTGAATCACTCAGGAAAAAAAATTAATTTGCTAGATTTCAGGTTTTTTTAATACATCACTAAATTTGAAAAAAAGAGTTCCTTTTATTATTTCATGTTAGAAAGATTATTTGGGTTTCCTGTATCAATGGAGATGGCCTTTCTAGTGCACGTTCTCTGAAAAATTCATGAGTGGTTTTCTCATACAGGGAAACTAAATTATATCCCATCTCAGTAGATCTACAGTGCAGAAGCACGTCTGAGTCCTTCTACATCTGCTCTCTCAGTCTGGATGTTACAGCCCATGTAACACATGATATTTTTGGGGTGATATTTGAAAGTTTGGTATATTGTATACCAGGTTTTCACTTTTGGTTCTTGGCAGTGTACACAGCTGGACAGGCATTCAACACAAATGTCTTGTGTGTTTCTTCTGCACTGGATACGTGACCTACTCTGCACTCTTGCACCAGGGGCAACATTCTTACTGATAATGTGCAAAAATGGCTTCCATACATGATTCTTCTAGTCCCGAACCCGGTCAGCCCGGGATACCAAGACTACACCATTCCTCCATTTCCTGCCTTGGTGCTCTCAGAAGCACCAAATTGAGGTTCAAGATCCTGATGACGTTGTTCAGATGCTTATCAGTTTGGGGCACAGAATCTCAAAACCTTGGGCAAAGCTGTAGGATAAAGACAGGAGCTGATGAATTTTGCCCCTTGGTGAGTGCAATTTCTAGGTAAATCTTGGCTGTGCTTTCATGTGGAATGGTTGAATATGGGAAATTAATTTTATTAACTATTGAGAACCATCACAAACCTTACCAATCTTCATCTCCAAATCCAACATATATCTTAACTTTTGCTGTCTCCTGTATCTAGTACCTAAAAAGTGTATGTGTGCAGGTGTATAGATCCTACAGCTGAAAGGGCTGGAGTAACCCAGTATGCCATGCCAGCATTACCTGGTATGGTTGGCATGGAACCACTTTCTAAACAAATGAAACAGGATGGACTTTTTCTTCCTCAGACCACTAGTTTGAAGCTTTCAGTTGAATTTTCTGTTCACTCCATAAAGCCAATATTATAATCGTGGAAAAGACAAGAGAAAAAAGAAGCCACGTAACTTATTAGTCATTCTGTTTTCACACTTCTGCAGAACGCCCAGGTACCGTGGTGCAGTTCACCCTCCACAAACCTGAAGAGACCAGAACAGCTTCACTGTGAGCTGTGTTTGACCCTGAGCATGAACAAGGCTGTGATGCATGGAAGAACACATCACAAAGCTAACAGCACTTCTAAGTAATGGTACCATTTTCCTATTGTGAAAGAAAATAAGGACGAGAGGGGAAGGGGTCATGATACTGACAACTGAATCAGGAGTTCTCTGCAGCAAGTAATAAATGAAGTGACATTAGCTGAAGGCAGTCAATATCAAGCAAGCTAGCAAGTCACTTTCCAAATGTCTCTGAGTGACCAAAAGCAATGACAGATACAAGCTTTAGTCAACTTTATGGGAAACACAGTTCAACAGGGAAGAAACTCTAATGCATCAAGTGTGCTGGAAAGAAATCAAACGCATTCCCTTCTATGAAATAAGAAATGAAGCTCAATGGAAACCAACCAACCAACCACCCTGAGTCTTTCTCTTACATTTTGGCCATGCATCTTCACAGAATTTTCATTCCCTATTGCAAGTGTATCTATATTGCCTGTCCCACACACCCACACATACACAGCACGCTTTCAGCCACGGAGCTCCATCCTTCCAAATCCTTATTAAGATTTGCATCTGGCCTTAAAAC